GATTGTCTGTATAGCTATGTGGGGTATGGGGAGATAGGAAATGGGCTGCTATGGGTTTCTTTAGGGAGGTGGGGGGTTGGGTGGTTTGACAACATGCTCTGTCACTTATTCAAGTCATTCAAAAAGAAATACATTATTGTTGAAGCAGAATAAAAGACATCACAGGAAGAGCATGGTGTGTCTGAGATTCAGTTACATCCCTGGCTCTCTGGATAACACACAACCCTCCCCTCACAAACCACTCTCTAAGAAGATTTGTCAGTTAGCCTCCTCTCTCTCTTCCCCCTCTCTCCCCCCTCCCTCTCTCTCTCTATGGAGGGAGGAGGAGGGAGAGGAGAGGAGGGAGAGAGAGGAGGGAGGGGAGAGAGAGGAGGGAGGGGAGAGGAGGAGGGGAGGGGAGAGAGGCAGAGAGGGGGAGAGGGAGGGGGAGGAAGAGAGGGGAGGGGACGGGGGAGAGAGAGGGAGGGGAAGGGGAGGGAGGGGAGGGAGAGGAGGGAGGGGAGAGGGAGGAAGGGAGGAGAGTGGAGGAGGGGGAGAGGGAAGGGGAAGAGGGAGGGGAGAGGGGAGGGTGAGAGGGAGGGGAGAGAGAGGAGGGAAGAGGAGAGGGGAGGATGGAGGGGAGAGGGAGGGGAGGAGAGGAGAGAGGGAGAGGGAGGGGGGAGAGGGAGGAGGGAGGAGGGGAGAGGGAGGAGGGAAGGGAAGAGGAGGGAGGAGGGAGAGGAGGAGGGAGGGAGAGAGAGGAGGGAGGGGAGAGGGAGAGGGAGGGGAGAGAGAGGGGAGAGAGAGGAGGGAGGGGAGAGGGAGGGAGGGGAGGGGAGGGAGAGAGGGGAGAGAGGGAGGGGAGGAGGTAGAGGAGGAGGGAGGGGAGAGAGAGGGAGGGAGGGGAGAAGGAGGGGAGAGGGAGGAAAAAGGGGGAGAGGAGAGGGAGGGGAGGAGGGAGGAGGGAGGGGAGAGAGAGGAGGGAAGGGAGAGGAGGGAGGGGAGAGGGAGGAGGGAGGGGGGGGAGAGAGGAGGGAGGGGGGAGGGATGAGGGAGGGGAGAGGGAGGAGGGAGGGGGATAGGGAGGGGGAGGGGGGAGAGAGGGAGGGAGGGAGAGGGGGAGGGAGGGGAGGGAGGAGGAAAGGCTTTGGCGTGAGTGATCCAGGCTGTGACATGCATGCTGGGTGTCTTAACAAGGTGTTCACACATGTTACAGCATCTTCTTATAGACTGACACCCAGAGACAGGGCCAGAAAGACAGAGACATGTTACAGCATCCTCTTTATAGACTGACACCCAGAGACAGGGCCCGAAAGAAAGACAGAGACATGTTACAGCACCTCTTTATAGACTGACACCCAGAGACAGGGCCAGAAAGACAGAGACATGTTACAGCATCCTCTTTAGGACTGACACCCAGAGACAGGGCCAGGAAGAGAGGTCAGTCTAGGACTGTATCCAGAGAGTCAGGGACAGTGTGTAGTCAGAGAGTCAGTGACAGCTGTGTAGTCAAGGAGGCTGGTTAGAGGACAGCTGTTGTGAGGTCAGGACAGGTCAGAGATAGCTGTGTAGTCAGAGGGTCAGATGACAGCTGTGTAGTCAGAGGTCAGAGACAGCTGTGTAGTCAGCAGTCAGAGATAGCTGTGTAGTCAGAGGGTCAGTGAGGTTCAGAGACCTTGCAGGACGTGTGAGAAGCGACAGAGAGCAGCAGAAAGTCCATTGGGAGTGTCTATAACTTTAGTCAGTTCAGACCCGGCTCTGCAGGATCAAGAGACAGAGACAGGCTCCACGGGGTCCATGCCTTAGCACACCCATGCACGCACACAAGAGAAGATTAACCACGCACACACGGCCACCTAAACACAAACACCACACACAAAACACACACACCACACACACCACACACACACACACACACACACACACCACACACACACACACAACACCCACACACACACACACACACACACACACACACACACACGCACACACCCCAGGCACATGCATGAACACACGCAAGCACCCACCCACCCACACACACCCTCCAGTGGGTGGTGAAGACGGCTCAGTACATCACTGTAGAGAGCAGAGAGCAGAGTAGAGAGCAGAGAGCAGAGAGCAGAGGAGAGGAGAGAGTAGAGGAGAGAGCAGAGAGTAGAGAGCAGAGGAGAGAGCAGATAGCAGAGAGAAGGAGAGAGCAGAGAGAGAGAGAGGAGGAGAGAGCAGAGAGCGAGGAGAGAGAGAGAGCAGAGGAGAGAGCAGAGAGCAGAGGAGAGAGCAGAGAGCAGAGAGCAGACGAGAGAGCAGAGGAGAGAGCAGAGGAGAGGCAGCAGAGAGCAGAGGAGAGAGCAGAGAGCAGAGAGCAGAGCAGAGAGCAGAGAGCAGAGAGCAGAGGAGCAGAAGAAAGGAGAGAGAGCAGAGGAGAGCAGAGAGCAGAGAGCAGAGAGCAGAGGAGAGAGCAGAGAGCAGAAGCAGAGAGAGAGCAGAGGAGGAGCAGAAGAGAGCAGAGACAGAGCAGCAGAGAGAAGCAGAGAGCAGAGAGCAAGAGGGGAGAGGAGAGAGCAGAGGAGAGCAGAGAGAGAGAGAGAGCAGAGGAGAGAGCAGAGGAGAGAGCAGAGGAGAGAGCAGAGAGCAGAGAGACAGGGAGAGAGCAGAGAGCAGAGAGGAGAGCAGAGAGCAGAAGAGAGAGCAGAGAGCAGAGAGCAGAGAGCAGAGAGCAGAGAGCAGAGAGCAGAGCAGGAGAAGCAGAGAGAGAGAGAGCAGACGAGTAGAGAGAGCAGAGCAGAGAGCAGAGGAGAGAGAGGCAGAGGAGAGAGCAGAGCAGAGAGCAGAGAGGAGGGGGAGGAGGGGAGGGGGAGCAGAGAGCAGAGGAGAGAGCAGAGAGCAGAGGAGAGAGCAGAGAGGAGAGAGCAGAGGAGAGAGCAGAGAGAGAGCAGAGAGCAGAGGAGAGAGCAGAGAGCAGAGGAGAGAGCAGAGAGCAGAGGAGAGAGAGCAAGAGAAGCAAAGAGAGCAGAGGAGAAGAAGACAGAGAGCAGGAGGAGCAGAGACAGAGAGCAGAGGAGAGAGCAGAGAGGAGAGCAGAGAGCAGAGGAGAGAGCAGAGAGCAGAGGAGAGAGCAGAGAGCAGAGGAGGAGAGGAGAGAGCAGAGGAGAGAGCAGAGGAGGGCAGAGAGGAGCAGAGGGAGAGAGAGCAGAGAGGAGGAAGAGAGAAGCAGAGGGAGCAGAGAGCAGAGGAGAGAGCAAGAGAGACGGGAGAGAGCAGGAGAGAGAGAGGAGCAGGGGAAGAGCAGAGAGCAGAGAGAAGAGAAGCAGAGAGAGAGGAAGCAGAGAGCAGAGGAGAGAGCAGAGAGAAGAGAGGAGAGCAGAGAGGAGCAGAGGCAGAGAGCAGGAGAGAGAGCAGAGAGGAGGAGAGAGAGAGCAGAGGAGAGAGCAGAGAGAGAGCAGAGGCAGAGAGCAGAGGAGAGGAGAGGGAGAGGAGAGCAGAGAGCAGAGGAGAGAGCAGAGAGCAGAGCAGAGAGAGAGCAGAGAGCAGAGGAGAGAGGAGAGAGAGCAGAGAGCAGCAGAGCAGAGAGAGCAGAGAGCAGGAGAGCAGAGAGATGAGAGAGAGAGAGCAGAGGAGGAGAAGCAGAGAGCAGAGGAGAGCAGGAGAGAGAGAGCAGAGAGCAGAGGAGCAGAGCAGAGGAGAGAGCAGAGAGCAGAGAGAGAGAGAGCAGCAGAGGAGAGAGCAGAGAGGCAGAGGAGAGAGAGAGCAGAGAGCAGAGAAGTAGAGAGCAGGAGAGAGCAGGCAGAGAGAGAGCAGAGAGCAGAGAGCAGAGCAAGGAGAGCAGAGGAGAGAGCAGAGAGGCAGAGAGCAGAGCAAGAGGGAGAGCAGAGGAGCGAGAGAGAGAGGCAGAGGAGCAGAGGAGGAGAGCAGAGGAGAGAGCAGAGGAGAGAGCAGAGAGAGAGAGCAGGGGAGAGAGAGAGGAGAGACGAGCGAGAGAGAGAGGAGAGCAGAGAAGCAGAGAGCAGAGAGAGAGAGAAGCAGAGGAGAGCAGAGGAAAGAGAGCAGAGAGGGGCAGAGGAGGAGCAGGAGAGAGCGAGAGAGGAGAGAGCAGAGAGAGAGAGCAGAGAGGAAGAGCAGAGAGCAGAGGAGCAGAGCAGAGGAGAGAGCAGAGAGAGAGCAGAGAAGCAGAAGCAGAGGAGAGAGCGAGAGGAGAGGGGAGAGCAGAGAGAGCAGAGAGGAGAGCAGAGGGGAGCAGAGAGCAGAGCAGAGAGGCAGAGAGAGAGACAGAGGAGAGAGAGAGAGAGAGCAGAGAGAGAGGAGAGGCAGAGAGCAGAGAGAGAGCAGAGCAGAGCAGAGGAGAGAGCAGAGAGAGAGAGAGAGCAGAGGAGAGCAGAGAGCAGAGATCAGAGAGCAGAGGAGAGAGCAGAGAGCAGAGGAGAGAGCAGAGAGCAGAGGAGAGAGCAGAGAGCAGAGAGAGAGTAGAGAGTAGAGAGTAGAGAGTAGAGAGTAGAGAGTAGAGAGTAGAGCAAAGAGCAGAGAGCAGAGACTGGTAAATACCAGGAAGCAGATTGGATGATTTTACAGCCCGTCCACCTATCCTTCCTCCAGATCAATATTTATCTGGTAATGGGGATTGTCAAATTACATTTTTGTTGTTACAACTGATTACTTCATGGTGGTAATATTAAAGGCTCTGATAGAGTCAGTGAGTCAGTGACACCTCCTACATCATGGTCATATTAAGGACTCTGATAGAGTCAGTGAGGCATAACACTAAACAAAGGCAGAAACTTGTTGAGCCCTATAATTCTAATCTGACCTCAAACCAGTTCCACTGCTTTTTACATTCTTCCCCTCTAATTAGGGACTGATTTAGACCTGGGACACCAGGTGGATACAATTAATTATCAGGTAGAACAGAAAACCAGAAGCAGTCCGCACCTTGTAGGGTAAGATTTTAATACCCCTCTTATAGAAAGTACTAAAGCAGGGCAACCTTACCCAGTCTTGGCGAAGTTAGTCCAGTAGGTCATCACCACAGCACTGAGCATGATGTCGTTCTTGGAGAAGTTACAGGGGAACAGGTCTGTGGGTCCGATCATGGGGATCCCGAACACGTAGGGTACCTCGTCCCCGTGGGCTGCGTCCGACCAGGCCGGCTTCATCAGACTCTGGCAGTGGTGGTAGAAGGCGTAGAAGTACGTTGGCGAGCCGTAACGGGCATGGAGGTCCGCCGTCACCACCGACGGCTCCACCCACTGGTGGTCGGTGAACAGAGCGACCAGCGTCTTGCGTCGTGTCTCGGGGTTGTCGCGGTCTGCCCAGTCCGTGTACATGAACTTGATGGTCTCCCTCAGAGTGTCTTTGCCTTCTGGGTAACCGTAGAGACTGTCAACGAAGTCCGACACGGAAAAGTCAAAGTCATTGCCGGAGATGCCGTCCTCTGAGTCGACCACGTTGTCCACGAAGCGAAGCCCCTCCCCCTGGTTGACTCCCAGCATGATGTCATAATTCAGGAACTCTCCCTGTGTGGAAATAACGAAATGTGTTGAAAATGCATTATTTTGTGTGACAACTGACTTTGACCTAAATTTGATTACAGTTGTTATGTATATAGTTGACTTTACATAATTACTATTATGGGGATGTTTGTGTGTGTATGTTTTTTCTCTTGATCTGTTCAAGTAAAAAACCGAATAAACAAAGTCAAATAACAAACAAACAAAGCAACAGAACCACCCCAGAGGTCCCCCACCTGCTCCATGAGGATCTCTGGATCATCAGGTATGACGTCTCCATCTATAACCGGTCCGAAGGCTACATGGTAGCGTGCTGGCTGGATGTCCTGCTGCACCAGCTCCCTGGCGCTCTTCTTCCTCAGACAGTCCACCATGTCCAGGGTATCCAGAACGTTACAGCCCACCTTCTCAGACAGCAGACGGGTGTACTTCACGGGCTGGTAGTTGACCGCCCAGCTGGACAGGGCTGAGCCACTCTGGATGATGGCACGGTGGAACAGACCTAGAGGAGAATGATAGAGAGATAGAGTAGTGGTTCTTTTCTCTGTACGCTATGAAAGGAACTGGAGATGAATTGAGCATCTGGAGACAAGCCAAACAGAATACACTGAAAAAGTGGCATGTATACAGAAAAATATAGACAGCTAATGAGCTTAACAATCCTTCCCCTCTACCCAACCCCCATACATACAACATCTCAGTATAATATGATGAGTGTTGTAACGAGAATACAGATGGGCTGCTCTTATTGTCTTACAGACAGACAGACAGACAGACAGACAGACAGACAGAGAGAGAGAGAGAGAGAGAGAGAGAGAGAGAGAGAGAGAGAGAGAGAGAGAGGAGAGAGGAGAGAGAGGAGAGAGAGAGAGAGAGAGAGAGAGAGAGAGAGAGAGAGTATGGCTTCTCTTCTCTTCACAGCTCAGACTCATTTGCTCAGTACAAACAGTAGCAGCAGTCATGGTGCTAGTACCCCGTACTGAATCCCAATGCTCCCCTCAACGCCAAGACCACTTCTCACACACCTTTGATCACAAGTTTCTGGAGGAGGAATGCAACTAACTACACTGTCTGCACATCATCACTGGGTAATCTGAAGGACAGGAAGAGAGAGAGAGAAAGAGAGTGGGGAGAGATCAAGACAGAGAGAGAGAGACAGAGAAAACGAGAGAGAGATAAAAGAAAGGTATATATTTTTATATCTATTTGTATTTGTATAAAATGTTGTAGTTATCTTCGCTAGCTGGATTGTTTACCAGTTGCTAAGCAGTTGCTAGGGACTCTCCTAAAAGAAGCTAGCTAGCTAGCTACAAAACAAAAGCTAGTCAACAGCACAATTGAAAGACAAAAGAAGGACAGAAGACAAAAGATATAAAAGTAAAACAGTTCTCTAAAGACACTAGAGACAATAATACAAGAAACAACGCTGTTTTGGAAAAGGTAGGCTTCTATTGCAACATTGTAGCCAACATCACCAGCATTGCTATGGAAATTGTTTACCCACCAGACATCCAGACGGAGAAAGCTAAGAAAAGTTTCAAAGGTTTGATGATGGGACAGAACCATGAATGCCTGTTTGCAGATCTTACCAGTTGCAAAACAAGAGCAAATTTAATATTTAATACCAAATGAGGGCACATATGGAAAAGGGTTATTTGCAACCATTTCCATTTTCAAAAAAGAGAGGCATCAGCCAAGGCTGTCAGATCAGTATTTTTGAAGAAGCTGACCAGAGCAACACATATCAAACAGTCAACTTATACAATAATGGAACTGTATTGATTGATACAGTGAGGGAAAAAAGTATTTGATCCCCTGCTGATTTTGTACGTTTGCCCACTGACAAAGACATGATCGGTCTATAATTTTAATGGTAGGTTTATTTGAACAGCGAGAGACAGAATAACAACAAAAAAATCCAGAAAAACGCATGTCAAAAATGTTATAAATGTATTTGCATTTTAATGAGGGAAATAAGTATTTGAACCCTCTGCAAAACATGACTTAGTACTTGGTGGCAAAACCCTTGTTGGCAATCACAGAGGTCAGACATTTCTTGTAGTTGGTGACCAGGTATGCGCACATCTCAGGAGGGATTTTGTCCCACTCCTCTTTGCAGATATTCTCCAAGTCATTAACGTTTCGAGGCTGACGTTTGGCAACTCGAACCTTCAGCTCCCTCCACAGATTTTCTATGGGATTAGGGTCTGGAGACTGGCTAGGCCATTCCAGGACCTTAATGTGCTTCTTCTTGAGCCACTCCTTTGTTGCCTTGGCCGTGTGTTTTGGGTCATTGTCATGCTGGAATACCCATCCACAACCCATTTTCAATGCCCTGGCTGAGGGAAAGAGGTTCTCACCCAAGATTTGACGGTATTCCTCCTCCTCCAAACACGGCGAGTTGAGTTGATGCCAAAGAGCTCGATTTTGGTCTCATCTGACCACAACACTTTCACCCAGTTCTCCACTGAATCATTCAGATGTTCATTGGCAAACTTCAGACGGGCCTGTATATGTGCTTTCTTGAGCAGGGGGACCTTGCGGGCGCTGCAGGATTTCAGTCCTTCATGGCGTAGTGTGTTACCAATTGTTTTCTTGGTGACTATGGTCCCAGCTGCCTTGAGATCATTGACAAGATCCTCCCGTGTAGTTCTGGGCTGATTCCTCACTGTTCTCATGATCATTGCAACTCCACGAAGTGAGATCTTGCATGGAGCCCCAGGCCGAGGGAGATTGACAGTGCTTTTATGTTTCTTCCATTGGCGAATAATCACACCAACTGTTGTCACCTTCTCACCAAGCTGCTTGGCGATGGTCTTGTAGCCCATTCCAGCCTTGTGTAGGTCTACAATCTTGTCCCTGACATCCTTGAAGAGCTCTTTGGTCTTGGCCATGGTGGAGAGTTTGGAATCTGATTGATTGATTGCTTCTGTGGACAGGTGTCTTTTATACAGGTAACAAACTGAGATTAGGAGCACTCCCTTTAAGATTGTGCTCCTAATCTCAGCTCGTTACCTGTATAAAAGACACCTGGGTGCCAGAAATCGTTCTTATTGAGAGGGGGTCAAATACTTATTTCCCTCATTAAAATGCTAATCAATTTATAACATTTTTGACATGCGTTTTTCTGGATTTTTTTGTTGTTATTCTGTCTCTCACTGTTCAAATAAACCTACCATTAAAATTATAGACTGATAATTTCTTTGTCAGTGGGCAAACGTACAAAATCAGCAGGGGATCAAATACTTTTTTCCCTCACTGTATATACATATATATACACTACCGTTCAAAAGTTTGGGGTCACTTAGAAATGTCCTTGTTTTTGATAGAAAAGCAATTTTTTCGTCCATTAAAATAACATCAAATTGATCAGAAATACAGTGTAGACATTGTTAATGTTGTAAATGGCTATTGTAGCTGGAAACGGCAGATTTTTTATGGAATATCTACATAGGTGTACAGTGGCCCATTATCAGCAACCATCAGTCCTGTGTTCTAGGCAGAGTTGCAAATATATATTGTGGCGTACAGCAGGTCAGCCACCAGGGGGAGACTCGTTGAGGCCTGGTAACAGATGGAGTATACATCACGAGGCGGTGGCTCCATCTGCTGGACGTGCCAGGTCTCGACAGGCTCCCCGGACAGGACTAATTGGGGCTGATTGAGAGCTGGTGAGTAATTAATGGCGGATTGCTCACCAGCTGTGCAAGGCCCATAAAGCTGCCAGAAGGGCAGCACATGAGGGAGGACTGGGGTAAGTAAGGTAACTTCTGTGTAGTTGGAGACGGTATCCTGGAGAGGATCTCATGGGGGAGACCTAACCTTTTCTTTTGAATGGCCGGCAGGGATGTAGCGTTGATAGAGCATGGCATTTGCAATGCCAGGGTTGTGGGTTCGATTCCCACGGGGGGCCAGTATAAAAAATATGTATTCACTAACTGTAAGTCGCTCTGGATAAGAGCGTCTGCTAAATGACTAAAATGTAAATGTAATTATTTTATTAATAAACACCCTTGAAACTGAGCTAATCATACTCTGTCCGTGTCTGATCTGTGTAAACGTCTTGACCCAACCCCCTGATCTGCAACAAGTGGTGGAAAATATGGGCGCTTTGATAACGTGGTCAGATCAGGGTTGACGTTTACCCAGCATCAGCATGGACGAGTTGATAGCTCAGTTCGTCTTGGCCCAACAAGCACAATAGGCGGTTCAGGAACGAACGCTGTAGGAACAGCAACTACAAAACATCCGCCTCGTGGAGGAAGTCAGGAAGCTGCAAGGAGGAGCGTCTCCTGAAACCCATCCCAACCAGTTTTTAATCAAGCTAACGGAAGACGATGACATTTAAACATACTTCTGTACGTCTGAACGGACAGCGCTACGGGAAGGATGGCCAATGCCGAAGTGGGCAAGTCTGCTGGCCCCGTTCCTCTCTGGGAATGCCCAAAAGGCATATTGGGACCTGAACGATGAACAGGCGGCTAACTACGACGGACTCAAACAGGAGATACTCAGCCGCTACGGGTACAGCCTGGCCCATCGGGCTCAACGGTTCCACGACTGGAGGTCCGTACCCGACGCATCCCCCCGAGTCCAGATGAGCGACCTTCTGCGCGTCACCAGGGCATGGCTCCTAACCGACGTATCCACCCTCTCCCTCCTCGACAAAGTGGTCCTGGATCGCTTCGTATGGGCGCTACCCCACGACATGAAGAGGGCAGTGAGCCTATGCGCGCCCCAGACCTTGGAGGGCCTCCTGGAAGCAGTGGAGATGCATCAGAACACTCAGGCCCTACTGAGGGGGAGCCGGGACGAGTCGGCGACCTGTGCGAGGGGATGGAACGACCACCGGAGAACAGGTGGATCACGCCGTGAACTATGTCACCTCCTGTTGGGCGCACCATGAATCAACTGCACCCATGGTCCCGGTGAAGGTTGACGGACACGACACGGAAGCGCTATTAGACTCTGGAAGCATGGTTACGTTCGTAACCACGAGCCTGCTGAACAAGGAGACCGAACGGGGTAGGGAGATCCCACCGTATGGACCAACATCGTGACACCACAAGGGAGCTGCTTGATTATGGTGGGTGCAGTACCAGAGCTGCCAGTACCTATCCTAGTGGGACTGGATTGTCCGCTGTTCACTGCCCTATGGGGGCACGAGTTGAAAAAAAAGATAAGAGCCGGCAGAAGAAGAGAGCGGGGACGACCCCTCGCCTGTGCGGCCAGGATGCCACCGGTTAACCAACCTGACTCTACGGGGTCGGAGTCGGAGGGGGAGCCGGAACCCAAACCCCCTGGGGAATCACTGGAGGAGGAGCCCAGCCTCCCCCTTCTCGATTTCGAGGGGCCAGTCGAGACCCCCGTTGGGGGCCAATTGAGGGGCCAATTCGGGACGGCCCAGTGGGAGGATCCGAATTTGAAAGCTGCCACAGCCCAAGTGATAGCGGTGGATGGACAGCTACTTCCGGGGGTGAGTGACTGGCGATACCCCCAT